CTTAAAACACCAAGTCAGAAAGGAATTCCATCGTTTTCAAGCAGAAATAAATAATCTAAACATTCGACAAATTTATACAGCTGGTCCAAAAGACAAAAACAAAGTTGCAGCTTTCTAGACGACTTCCTGATGAAGCAACGATTTTTACAGCTGAAGCAAAGGCAGTTCAACTTGCATTTGAAATCAGTGTATTTAAGCATCTTGTGACAAGACTCGCTCTTCTGCTTACAATCCATAAACAATATGAACATTGATCACCCATATATTTTGGATATATTAACCAAATACTATCACTTCATTAAACAAGGTAATGATGTTGAATTTGGTTCGATCCGAAGTCATATTACACGATGGCTGATAGTGCCGCAGAAATGCACTTCAGTATGAAATTGTACACTAAAATACCTTACACTGTTAAGAAATATTAAGTAAAAACTTCTGTAAATTCACTTTGGCAAATATTTTGGGATTTTTGTGATAATAATAAACTTTATGCAATACAAAACGAAGGTAAACAGTCATCCGATTTTGCCTGAAACGTCAGGACGAAGTCATTATATCAAGAATACGCAATGGATATTCAAGGTTTACTCATTCATATTAACTAAACGGGGAACATCAACCTAAATGCATAGCTTGTGATTAACAATAAACCATATTCTTTTAGACTGTTCTGATTTTCGCCTGTACGAAATAGACTTTTTAATAATGTGCAAACAATGCATGACCTTTTTACAAATATTAGTCCTGGTACAAATTTAGAATACATGCAGGAAACAGATTTTTACAGTAAGATTTAGATGTATACATTTTAATTGCACATTTTTGTTATAATAAATTTAAATGTTTTCATATATTCAAATTTAAAGTCCGTCGGATGGGACGTTAAATGGTGCTGCGTGTCAAGGATTACAATTCCCTTGGCACGTAAAAGATCGTGTTTCTGGTTTTCGAAAAAGAGTAGGCTCACTGGTGGCCGCCAGAGAAATTTATATAGAGGTTATATAGAGGTTTGAAAGTTATTTGGGGGGGGGGGGGTGGCATAAAATTCACACCAAGCGAGTTTATTTGTCTAGAGAGACAACTAGAAAGGGTAAGGCGATGGATAAAATACACAGATTGGTTAAAGAATATGTCTAGAAGTAGGTAATGAAAGGTCGCTGATTGACAAATGCTGGAAAGTAGCGAAATACATCCCCAAAGTGCGCAGAAAATCTTGCGCCGTAAATTGCAAAATATTTGCATTTGCGGGATCTGTAACGTTATGGTCAAAGGCTAAAAGATAAAACCATAACGATACAGTTCTGCATCTACGACGTAATTATCCAACAATATTGATTGGCAGGGGATGTGTGACAATAGATGGATAGAAGCGACACGACATGATGCTGCCACAGTATTTTGTTCAGAGATGTGGTTTGACGAGAACATTCCATAACTATTACGCAGAACAAGACCTACGTAGACCCAGACCGCTAAAGAATACGAGGCATCCAAGAGCACCTGTGTCATCAGCCACTTCACCATCTATGTGTGTATGCATCAGATTACAGTCCATCAATTAGAAGTTGCGTGCGGGAATGCAATGGAGCCCTCTACTCTAGAGAAGCCATAGTGTTAGAAAAAAATTCCTTCCTAAGTGCATGAAGCGGCGGAATCATCCGTAGTACAGTGTACATGACTATGGAGCAGGAGTGTTCCTAAGTGCGTGAAACGGCGGAATTATTAATACATGTAGTACAAGACTTTGTAGAACAGGATCGTTATAAATATCTACCACCGTACCTAATAAGTCAAATCTTTTAACCCTCTTTAAACTACTTCAAACCTAGAATTCACCAAGAACAGATCAGTCAGATGACAAAGACTTGATCCAGATCTTCATGTGATAGTGGATCTACATGACGTCAATCACTCTTTCTTTCAAAGAGGTCCGTTTCCTGTTGAAGGGGAAAAAGAATTAAGTGTCATGTTCAACGTAGTCAGCCTCCCAAAATATTCAAGAACATCCAACAATTGCGTTATTTAGATGAATCTCCGCTGTCTCAGATTTCAACATTGATTTTTTTTTTATTTTGTGAAAAGGGTCTTTGTTGAATTTCTTTTTCTTCCTGTATAAAATACACACCTCCATCATGTCATGTGACCAGTATAACCCTTTTATCCCCCACCAAGTTCATGCATATATTTTGAGGTTTTAAAAAAATGGCATGCTTTTTGAGTATTTTTCAGAGAAATTGTAAAGGGAACATTTTTTTTTCTGTGAAGACTTTAAACAATTTTGGCGTTCGTTATCCAATTATTACATATAAGAAAGGCATAAGTGAAGAAATGATTACTACAATTCAGTGAAAAAAACTTGAATCCCTATTTCATCAAACATAAAATTGTACAAAAAAGAAAACAGGATTTTACTTCCGAAAGCAACGAAAACTTTAGAAAACTAATCGTTTTTAACGATTTGAAAATTATTTGGGTCACTTTCATGATACAGCTGTGGGTCCGGACAAGACCCATTATCAAGTACATGTACTAAGTTAATACTAAGGAAGATCTTCTACAACTCTTCAATGTGATCTAAGAACAAGATTTTTTCCCGAATTCTCTGATACAGACAACAGTTATCTCTATTTCAAAGCCTAGTAGGGATAATGAAGATACCAAGGATTATAGACCACTTACTTTGACAAGTTTTTAATGTAAAACGTGCATTAATAATAAGTGAATACTCAATATGGTTCCTTGAAACCATTAACATTTTAACCGTTATAGAATGTGGTTTTCGAAATAAAAAGTACTGTTAACCGGCTAGCTAGTCCTGAAACCTCTATACAAAACGCTATTCCAAAAAGTCCTTTGTACATGTGTTTTTTGTTGTTGTTTTTTTTAAATACATGTAATAGATATTTTGCGGTGGGCTTAGGTTTAATGATTTCAAACAATTTTAAACAGGAATTTGTAGTAGACGTATTCTCTCAGTCACCATATGCATTATAAAAAATAATTTAGCGTTAGTACTTAATAATGGTTCGCCATGGCATTTTGTATATTGATTGCTTTTGTTCACAAAATGAATTAAAAAATGTTCATTCCATTTAGCGACAGAGTAAAAAATTACAAAATTGATCACTAGGATAATATGAATGGTTTCTTTTTTCGGACGGAAAGCTCAAGATGTTTTGGTGTAAGTTTGAAACCCAACAGAATTGATAAAACATGAATGTTTTAAGTGTATTATTTGATAATAAATGTAAATTCAAACAAAAAAGGGGCAGAGTCGAGAGGGACGTTAAACAACATACAAACAAAACAAAAAGGGGCAGTACTCTGCTATTTAAAAAAATGCTAAAACATTATTGAGTTTTACTCTCATCTTGTTAAGATATTATATAATTTCACCATGTTTGCATTTGAAATGAATCGGAATTAACAGTACATAGATTCATTAAAAGAAAATGCTGATAACTACTACTGAAATTTTCAGTTTCTGCTCTCTAATTTTTGTAGGGATGTCTGTATAAGTTGAAATTGCATGAGCAAGTATCTTATAAGAAAATATAAGTCAAGTTTGAATTTGGTCATGGTCCGACAATTTTTCAGAGTTACATGTGTGTCCCTCTTGAACTGAATTTTTCAGTTTCCGCTCTCAAACTTTTGTAACCGTTCATGGTAGCTCAGTCGGTAGAGCGCTAGCTCCGTGATCGGGAGGTCGAGAGTTCGAATCTCGCCCGCGACTGACCAAAGTCGATTAAAAAAATGGGTAGCAACTGCTCCTGCGCCATGCGCTCGGCACTTTGAAGTGAAAGTTGCTGGTCCCTTGGATGAGACCTTAAAAACCGAGGCCCCGTGTCACGGAAGGCGTTGGTGCAATAAAGACCCCTCACTGCTCAATGGCCTTCAGTGCCGAGTAAAGGTCAAAATTGTAAGCTCTTCACCGGTGTATGGTGACGTCTCTATATTAGTGAAAAATTCTCGAACGTTAAACAACATACAATCAATCAATTAATCTAACTTTTGTAGGGATGTTTATATAAGGTTGAAATTGCATGTGCAGTATACAAGTCAAGTTCGAATTTGGTCATAGTTCGATGATTTTTTGACAGAGTTATCCCTCTTGAAATTAGAAAAAAATCAGAAATTTTCAGTTTCCGCTCTCTATTTTTGTAGGGATGTATGTATAAGGTTGAAATTGCATGTGCAGGAAAAATACAGGTCAAGTTCGAATTTGGTTGTGATACAATGATTTTTGACACAGTTATCCCTCTTGAACTTGGAAAAAATAAGAAATTTTCAGTTTCTGCTCTCGAACTTTTGTAGTGACGTTTAAAATAGAATATGCAGGTATTTTACCCGAAAATACGGGTCAAGTTTGAAAACAAATTTAAAACTAAATATTGCATTTGAAATTTTGGTTGCTTCCGGGGGCATTCGTGGCATTAACGACACATAGTTAATAATTAAAACAGTATCTTACATGGTAATACCATTAGAAATTGCAAAACCCATAATTTACTTTGAAATGCTAATATGGAAGTTAATTAAACCAGTTTTGAATACATCCAAAGATAAATTAGAAATGTGATAAATAAAACAAATAAAAAGACAGAAATAAACTAAGTCACTGTCGCTGCAGTGGTTTAAAGTGATGTGATCTCTACACATTTAAATATAATCAAAAATATTTACGTCTGAAAAAGTTATATAACTTGCATTTAAATATATCAAGAATTCTAGTAACATCTTTTTAAAGATATTTTTAAACTCTCTGACTTGCTTACAAACCATACTTAGTATGAAAAATGATTATCTGTACATCTTAGATACATCAAGCAAGGCACTATCATTTCACTCAACAAGGAAAATGGTTAACTTTTGCTATGATTCCTAGTCATATTGATATCAAACCTTCTTCAAACGCTGACAGCAAATATATGAAATACTACCGACTCTGTGTTCAATCATATACAAATACTGCCGACTCTGTATAAAAACATCAACAATCAATCCTCATCAATATTAATGTCGTCTTGTGTATCATTTCTCCTCCTATTCCTGGACATTGTGTTTTCTTCAGATTGTGAAGTATCGTCTAAACGTGTATTTTCATAAATGTTCGTGAAACCAGTCTCCTGCAAGTCTGAAATGGTTATAAAGGAATGTAAATAACAAAGAATGAGATTTTCGATATGACAGGAGCTGTTTTTTTTTTTATAAATAAAACAATGGCAAGCATTATTTTATTGGATTTACCATTTTCATAGACATATTCTCTTGCCCTTTCGTTATCCTGATTTATTTCTCTGGGGTTTCCTGTTTTCGGTGATCGTGACCTGCATCTAAAATTTAGGTTTCTTGATTATTCAATCGCTAGAACAATGTACATGATTTTTCTAATAATTGGGAAAAAATAACACCAAAACCGATATAAATTATGATACTATTTTCAACATTTTTGACATATAAAGAAAAGGGATTACTTTTGTTCACATGAAAATTTTGAAATGTGAATAAAATTTTAGTTTCTTTCAATCAAATGCATGCCTGTTCGGATTCATACATACCGTCTGAATACAACCAATGAAATTACGATGGTGGTGATGAGGATTACCACTGCGGAGACGACTCCCCCAACAACAACGAATATAAAATCTGAAGATTTATCGCTTAAAGACTGGAGAAAGTAGATAATTTTAAACTAAATTGAAACAGAGAGTTTATGACCTCATTGGGATATTACGTAATAAATGCTATAAAAATATATGATTACCTCTGCATTAAACAAACACAATCCTGAAACATGATGGCATGCTTGGTTTATACAATCTGTGCTGCAGTTTTCCCTGCACTCGATGCCCCAATATGATGGGCTACAAACTAGAAAATTTTACCTAAAAACAGCTAAGAGATTAATGACCTTTTGCTTTTGAAGATGCAATGAAGTTATAAAATATTATTAAAGATAAACAAAGATAAATGCTTTTTCGACTAAAAAAGGAAATGGTGATGTTTTACTGTCATCACAGAGAGATCCATCGTATCCAGGGGAACATCCTGCTTCGCATGTGCCGTTAATATGATCGCAGTGTTCGTCATCCAAACAGTGACCGCAGTTCTGGTTGCAGTTGGCACCGTACATTCCACCGTCACATTCTGAGAAATGATAGTTTTTTAATATTTGTTAATGTTCATGAATACACTGTAAAAAGGATATACGTCTACAATTGTTACTGGAAGAAAGGTAGATTAATAAATTTCCAGAATTTTTTTCTCTATAAATCAATTCGATTAAAATGTAGGTTTTAAATTAACAGACATCAAACATATTCATTTTTAACTAGCCTATGTATTTAGGAATACAAATGACATTCAACTGACACATCTTTCACCCATTACCCTCTTACCAGATCAACACAATATACATGTACATACTTTGATCACATTGTCCTCCCTTCCATCCTCGTTGACAACCTCTGTCACACTCGCCAGTAAACTTGTCACATCTGTTGGGTACACCACAGTTATCACTGCATGTATATCTACAGTCCCTGTCATAGAAGCCCGGTATACATGCTGAAATTTATGAATGTTGAAATACTAATCATACTTTCGGTTTATCAATGTATTATAAAGGAATTTCGCATTTACGAAAGTTATTCCCCTTTACGGGGTCAATCTGGGGTCAACCGGCGTAAGACACAGTTTTCCCTCTATAACATTACCAACTTTTGGGGGGTAATATCTCGCAAATTAAATCCGTTTGAATATGTTCATTATCTTTTTCATGTTGCTACATACTAAGGCAATTCAGGAACAGGTCAAGATTGTCCGATTCCGTTTTAATTTTGAAAATATTTACAGGTAAGTTACAAAGGATATAGTGACAAAAACGAGTATTCATTCTACAAAAACATGACCAATAAAGAATTTTTTATGTCGCTTACAAATTTACCGTTGTAATATCTTAACTATAAATTTAAAGGTCGATTTCAACTCTAAGACTTAACATACACACATGGTTTTGTAAATATTCACCGATATATATGCAGTTTAAGTTCTGATATGAACATAATGTAATGTTGAAAAACGTATTCCACTGCAAATCTTAATGTCACTTCATTTATTTACAAATTTCAAGATGAAATTTTTAGCTGTAAAATCGTTCCAAATAGATTGCAATGAATGTTAAAAAATGTCTTTTACTAGTATCCTATAAAAAAAGAAATCAAACCATGTCTCGCAAAGAAATGCATGGCTATCCTTTAATGCGAATTCATAAGCATGTCGCTTAAAATCGATTAACTTCCATAACGGTTTTGTTTTAAATTTCACGCATAGAATGCAGATTTCAAAAAGAACTGAAACTTATCTGAAAGTGACCACGGAACCTTATATCATCGATTCTAGGTGCGAGTCAGCTTTTTTAGACGATTACATTTTCGACATAACGAAATGAATTCGACAAAAACAGTTGTCTCTCTCAAAAATTTAATTTCCGTAACGGTAATTCAGGAAAGTTTTTGCATTAAAGGTATAATTTTTTTATTATTTTGGGAGCGAAATGCTTCATACTTTTGTTTAATATTCTAACACAAACTTTGATTTTAACTATTGAAGAGAATTTTAACTTTGATTGTTGGGAATTAACTTCCGTAACGATTAACTTCCGTAACGATATTTTCCCCGAAAATTTAATTTAAATTCGGATTCATACGAGTCTTATTGAATCATACCTTAGCGTACTTTACTGAACATCAGAAACAAAAAAATTGTCAAATTCAGCTTTATTTAAAAAATAATAAGGCTTGATCAAGCATTAACTTCCGTAACATGACCTTAAAATCAATGGTATCTTGAAATTTTTGTAAAAAGTTAACGATACCAGATTTGTGGACAATTCTTTGTTTTTCAAGTTCACTGATATGTCCTTTAGAGAATTATGATGTTCATTTTGCTATTTGAAACAATTATTTTTTTCATGTTTTTTTTTACTCTGAATTGGTCCATTTATCGTAGAATGACTGTGTCACGCCGACAACGGGAGATAACTCTTAAGAATGTGAAATTCGTCTATTATTATATAATATATAAGTGTGTTGAACACTTAACTGATTAATATCATTAACGGGGTTGTTAATTCTTAAATATATATCGTACATCATAATTTTTTATTAGAAAACACAAGGAAGCGGTACTTTATAGTCAGAATATCACGTTGTCTATGCTTGCAAAATAAAATACTTCCATAAACAAGAGTTACCTTCTTTTAAACCGTTTGTAATGACAAAAATATACTAATAATGTTAATGTTGCATTTGTTACATATAAAATTACTGTAGTTCTTGAATGTTGTATTACAAGATAGAAATATCCCAAAGTAAACAAAGCGGGTGCAAATTTTTTAGGTCGAATGCTATAAAATAAATGGAAAAGAGCGAGAGAGACACATAAGCCACAACGCTCATTCGAGTCGTTTTGGTCCTGCTATTCTTAAAAACAAATATTTTCCTACTTTATTCACATGACGAATCATTAACCCATATCGTGGTCGAACCCTAGCCGTAAGAAATAATTAATCCACTCATCCTGGGAATCTATATCTTTATCATTATGACTAATATGGCCTCATTGTACTGTAAAAAGGGTAAATATGGGTAAAAAGTGCTCAATGATTTTAATCATTCTCTAACATCAGGATCCATATTTGGAAAAAAAAAATCCATTAAAACGGTGAACATGGAAATGTTCGTAAAAATGATGTTCTGGTCCTACTATTTTTTCAGAAGCATTCTTGAAAAATAAACAAGAGGCCCAAGGACCTTAAAGGTCACCTGATTATAATGTAACGATCCTTAGCTTAAAACAAAATAAGCTGATAAATAAAGCTATGTTGCCCAAAAGCAAGAAAAATAGAATAATTATCAGGGATCAGCAAAATATTAATTTGGTACTCTATAACAAATCAAAGTTGATCTATTTATTTTCCTGTACTTTCCCCCATATGTCACTATCCTCATGCGGACTAAAAACAATTGAATCTGACTACCTGAAGATGCTTGCATATTAATATAAATAAACATGCCCCTGCTCCTCCTCAGGTTAGATTTTTTATACATTTTAACTTTATACTCTAATATAAAACTGTTCCCCAATTATGGTCCTACCCTATCCCAGGGGGCCACGATATGAACTAACTTTAGTGTGCAGTATGATTGCATATTAATAACCCTTGCTATTCTTTTGAAGTAGAATTTTAATTTTAATTTGAATAATATTTAATTATTTGATCATACGTAGATCCCCTTTACCCAAGAATGTGAAAAGTTAACAACGATTATGGCAGACAGCGTAAATATTTTGATAAGAAAAGCTAACTTGAGCACTTGGCTCACTTGAGCTAAAAATGCGTCTATGTTCGCGTCATTGGAAGTTGGCCCAAAAAAGGATATGATTTTGATGTAGGAATTGAATGAACTGACCATATGATGTCTAAATAAATAAAACCTAATAATATGAACTTAAGGATATATTTATTTGATTCTCTTCGGATTGATCTCTCTTATTAGAGGGCTTACAATCATTGCAGATTGATCCTTGGTATCCAGAGGAACACCCGACACAGGTGCCGTTAATATGGTCACATTGTTCGTCGTCCAAACAGTGTCCACAGCTTTGATTGCAGTTATCACCATACTTTCCACCGTCACATCCTTTGAAAACATAGATTATTGATATTTTTTAAGTGCAATTCCTCTAAAAATAAAGAATGGATGGTTCAAAAACGCGTTTAAAAAAAAAACCCACACACAATGTCATCATTTTCAGAAAATTAATTTTCCTTATAAATCAGTTTCAGTTTATAGGTCACTGAAACATAGTTAAAAGGAATACCATATCCAATTTTACTGACACGTTATTTAGGAATGAGAACAACGTTCAATTCAAAACTCCTTTATCCATTTTCAGAATGGACTTTGAGAAGCTACATCTCAAAAATACATACTTTGATCACATTGTTCTCTCTTCCAACCAGATTGACACTCTCCTTCACACTCCCCAGTAAACCTGTCACATCTGTTGGGTATACCGCAGTTATCACTGCATCTGTATCTACAGTCCCTGCCATAGTATCCCGGCATACATGCTGAAAGTTTTTGATCATAATAAAGAATTCTTCACAATGATTGATTGATTAATGTTTTACGCCGAATCTGCATTATTTCAGCCATATATCGGCTTCTTCGCAATGAAAATCTTATATTGATATGTTCATTGGTTCCATTTATTAGATCACCTGAGTTTACATATTGCTATATGTTTTCGTCCGTCGGCGTGCGTCGTCCCTTAACATTTGAACATTTTCAGCTTCTTCTCTGGAACCACTGAACCAATTTAAACAAAATTCGGCATATAGCATCTACATGTGAAGGGGAGTAAAAATTGTGAAATTCATCACCCTTATCCCCCCTGGGGCCTGAGGGGTGGGACTAAAACCATCAAAATTAATGAATCTTTAAAAATCTTCTTTACTCCTGGACATCAAGCAGGCATGAATGTAATAACCATTGAGCTCTCTACCTAAATTGTGAAATTTATGGCCCAAAAGTCAGGGGGTTCTGGTGCTAGGGTGGGGCTCTGTTGAATATGTAGTGAAAATGCATTATTCTTTAAAAAATCTTCTCCTCTGCTCTTGGGTATTAAGGAAACAAACAATATGCATGGTTATGAATAGGAAAGGAGTCTCTTCTAAAATTGTGAATTTCATGGCCCCTGGGTCAGGGGTTCTGGTGTTAGGGCGGGAGTCTAATGATTATATAGTGAAAATGATTTAATTATTCAAAAATCTTCTCCTCTGCTCCTGGGTATTAAGCCGATGAACTAAGTACATAGTTATGATGAGTAAGAGTGCCTCTTCCAAAATTGTGAATTTCATGGCCCAAGGGTCAGGGGTTCTGGTGTTAGGGTGGGGCTCTGTTGAATATATAGTGATAATGCATTATTTCTTTAAAAAGCTTCTTCTGTGCTCTTGGATATTATGAAAACAAAATAAATACATAGTTATGATAATGAAAGGTGCCTTTTCCAAAATTGGGAATTTCATGGCCCCAGGGTCAGGGTTCTGGTGTTAGGGCAGAGTTCTGTTGAATATATAGTGAAAATGCATTATTTCTTTTAAAAATCTTCTCTGATCCAGGGCAAACAAACTGAATGCATAGTTATGATGAGTAAGGGTTCCCTTTCCTATATTCTGAATTTCATGGCCCCTGGTCAGGTGTTCTGGTTTTGGGGCAGGGCTCTAATGATGACATAGTAAAAATGCAATAATTCTTTGACAATCTTCTCCTTTTCTCCTGGGTATTAAGCCGATGAACTAAGAGTATAGTTATGATATGTAAGGGTGTCTGTTCCACGCAGGTAGGTTAAGGCTTCCCGTAGAATATCACAGTGCACTCTGTGCCTTCACATCTCTGAACTACGAAAATATGACGTCATAATGGAAAATGACGTCAAGTCACTGCAAACTTGAGGTGTTATGACGGGGAGAGTGTCATAAACTTTACACTTTATTTCAAACTGCATGTAAAATGCTAGATAGCTATTGCAAAATTCACGAGTCGTTAAAGGTTCTTTAAGTCTTATATGTCCGAATATTTTAAAAATACACCGCTTACCTACCCTTGATTGAAATTCAGCATGTTCAAAATGCTTATGAAAAATATACTTCTGAAATGTACTCTGTTTTATACCCGTGGTTGGAGGTAGAATTTATTTTGTGTGTATAAAAGAGTCTGGCGCAGGTGATTGATGAGAATAAATCTGAGAATTTTTGTGGAAATCTGTAAGAAGAGGTTGTTCTCTAACTGAATCTTGCTTGGGAAAAATGTGTGTTGGCTTTGTTTTAATACAGATTACGATATTGTGTGGAAAATACCCTCAATTTTGTAGGTAAGTTGAATTTCTCAGGAAATATTTTGTACCCAAGTAATACTAAGACTTTTCCCAAGCACATTTCGGATACACAAGGATACGATGAGTTTATTTATATAACAAAATGTTAATAATTATCGTGTTAATCAGCTGCGCCGAAGCGATTTATATGAAACACTTCAAAAATTTATAAATGACCGTCACGTGATCAACAAAGTCATGTGATATCATAACAAATATGTTAATATATAGCCGAGGAAACCCTTTATATTAATTGAAAGTACTAAAGTTCAATACTTATCAATTAAAACCAAAACCGACCTCGCAATGACATATGTTTTGAGCGCATTTTAAAGCTTCGGGAAGCCTTAACATAGCTGCGCAGAATTTGTGAAATTCATGGCCCCTGGGTCAGGGGTTCTGGTGAAAGAGCGGGGCTATGTTGAATATATGGTGAAAATGCATTATTTCTTTAAAAATCTTTTTCTTTGATCCTGGGTATTTAGCAAACAAACTGATGCATAGTTATGATGAGTAAAGGTGTCTCTTTCAAAATTATGAATTTTATGGCCCCTGGGTCAGGGGTTCTGGTGTTAGGGTGGGCTTAATGATAACATAGTAAAAATGCAATAATTCTTTGAAAATCTTTTCTCCTTGGTATTAAGCTGATGAACTAAGAGTATATTTATGATATGTAAGGATGCCTCTTCCAAAATTGTGAATTTTATGGCCCCCTGGGTCATGGTTCTGGTGTTAGGGCAGGGCTCTTATGATTACATAGTGAAAATGCATTAATTCTTTGATAATTCCCTGCTCTCTTTGGGTATTAAGCAAGCTTACTAAATGTAAAATTATGATGAGCAAGTGTGCCTCTTTCGATATTGTGAATTTCATGGCCTCTGGTTTAAAACATGAATCCAATTTATTTGTGGCGAAGTTGTTGCATGATACTCAGGTGACCTATAAGGCCCGTGGGCCTCTTGTTGATCCATTACTTATACATGTAATACAATTTTTAGCGTTTACAATGAAGTATATGATTATTGATGAAAAAAATCTTCAAAAGTGAAGTTCAAGGGAATGTCAAAGTCATAAGGTAGATCAAAAGATTATGACCGAGTTCAATTGCCCCTACCAAAATGGAACTTTTTGTAAAGTTTGATAAAAAAAAGATTATGAATTGTACTTAACTCAAAAACAGCATTGAGGTCATGAACATAAGTAACGTCAAGGTTAAAAAATAATGACATTAAATTAACTGCCACCAATATCTATCAATGTAAAATATGGAGATAACGAGCAGTAATCAAGCTCAAAAACAAAACAAATTTTGAGTAATGTCAAGGTTAAAAAATAATGACATTAAATTAACTGCCACCAATATCTATCAATGTAAAATATGGAGATAACGAGCAGTAATCAAGCTCAGAAACAATACAAAGTTTGAGCAGAGCAAACAAGCATAAGGGGTAGGATCAGGCGCCATGGAGGTGTAAGCATGTCGACCGGTCACACCCGCTTTGTGCTCCTTCTCATGATCGGGGAAATGGAAAAATCCGTAGACAATTCAGTATGAAAATGACCTAACAAATTAAATGAAAAAAGTTAGTAAACATTCGACTTGTATTTACTGACAAGATCATTGTATCGGCCATAAAATTTGCGAAATGTTGACTTTTTAAGGGGATTGTAGATATTCTTGTTTAATCGACTTATTTTTCAATAGCTTGCCTCGTATTAGAAATTGTTCGTACGTAGAGCATACTCTTGCGTATGGAATCAACTTGGAGATATAAACTCCATATGTAGGTGATAATGGTATATTGCTACATCAATAAAGAAAGCTGCGAAAGAAAAGTCGAAGTCATCAAAATTTTTGATTCTACAATGCAAATTAAACTATATTCAAACAAAAAACCGTGATTAAATTCTATACAAAAAGAATTTATTGAGGAACTATATTTTATGGCGGAATGCTTTTAAGAAAAAAAAACGATCATTTTTTTCTCTTTCGAAATATTTACACCACTGTTATGTTTGGATTCCTATTTTTCCACATGAGTTATTTTGTGCAGTGAAATGTTTTATGCTGGTCCCGAATTATATATTGAATTATCTAGTATGAATCTATCATAAAGTGTGGCGAACATTTTGAGAAAGTCCAAAAAATAGCCCAAATTTTACCTTAAAATTAACACTTTATCGTAATATCTAAAATAAAAATCACATCGCAGACTCCCACTTTTAATTTTCTTGTCTGAATATATAAAATTACTTTGACTATTCTGCTTATTTTCAGTAAAAGCTCAAGACTTAAAATAATTTAATTTCTTGTTAAATTTTTAATGCCAGAAAAAAATGACATTTTGTGAGTGCAGAAAGGTTTAACAATTATGTCAATTAATTCGAAACGTTTTCTTTGGCATCATTTTAATGTGTCTATTCAAGATCTGTTGCTAGGTTATCATTAATGCCTTTTTCTAGTAAAATATCCAAATATAAAAGAGATGTGTCAGTGAATATGGTATCTTTTATCTCGAGAGTTCAAAGGGATATATCATATAAACAAAGGAATGAAACTGAATATTTTTTAATTGATAAAAGGTAATGTATAAATTTAATTGTTAGACCTTTAAAAATTGAATCCTTTATAAATCTCGGAAAAAATTCATCATTTCAAATGTTTTACTGAGCGGTCATAAAATGTCAATGTTGCTCCATTTACGTCATACTGTGGGCGGGATCCGCAAAATCTTATCTGCATTCGTTGGAATTCGACAGTGACAGAATTGAACGAGTTTTATCGCAGTGCGGGTAAATGAAACAAGAAGTCTGTGAGCCAATGCTCACTAGTAATACCCCGCTCTGATGTGAATATACGCTATCATGATTCCCACCATATGGCATTCCTAAACAAAGAGTGTGTTAAAATTTCAATCATCTGCCTTGAGTAGTTGCTGAGAAAACTGTGACGGAAATTTGGTACATACAGACGCATGCATAAACAGGAAGTTGACATCGGATCCGTAAAAATGAATCCCATCATATACGGCAGCCTAAACAAAGAGTGTGCTAAAACTTCAAGCACCTGCAATGATTATTTGCTAAGAAAGCTGCGACGAAAATTTGGTCCTGATAGACGCACGGAAAACAGGAAGTTGACATGAGATTTGTAAAAAAAAAAATATGAATCCCACCATATGGCATGCTTAGACAAAGAGTGTCCTAAAATTTCAAGCATCAGCAATGGGTAGTTGCTGTGAAAACTGCGACGAAAATTTGTTGCAGACAGACAAACAGACAAGGGTAAACAGTATACCGCCTCTCCTTCAGGACGGGGGTATAATAAATCTCATGGAAGCCAGCACAAGATATATATCAGTGGCGGATTTAAGGGGGGGGGCGCACCCCCCCCCCCCTTTAAACTGTCAAAGTTAGCGTAATTCATAGTTTCGTAGAGAAAATGTAAAAATGTCTACTCGGTAGACCTCATTTTTACCCTATAAAATCTCTAAAATCCAGGAGCTTCCGGGGGGCTTCGAATACGTGACAAGCACTGTACATGTATTTTCCGGTAAAAAAATTACAATGAAAATCCTCACCCGCCTGACATTTATCTCCTTCCGCCCCCTCATTACATCCACTAAGACAGGTTCCATTGACATGGTGACACGTTTCTCCATTGCTACAATTACCACACAATACAGAACAACCCAGTCCAAACTTTTGTTTACTGCATTCTGTAATGCAATTATAAAATAATATTACCATCGACAAAAATGAGAATAACGAACAGTAAAGAATATGAATCGTGAACAGGGCTAAAAACCCTGACCCTGGAAATACCAAACGTTAGATCGGGTTCCTGGGAGGAGTAAGAATCCCGGATCGATCAGTCACACGCGCCGTAAGCCCTCGGTTTTGATCAGGAAAACGGATTTTACCGAGTTCAAATCAGTATAAAAACGACTGTAGTGGAACATGTCAGTCATACTACGTCCATCAATAGGTTACGTGTACATTTGCAAACAAGGTCAGTGTGATAAGCATAGTATTTGCAGAAAGGTGACTTTTAACGAGATGTATGTAGTTGAAAACTTTGTCACATTACTTTATTTCTCGGTAACTTGCCTCGTTTTAAAAATTGATCATCCTCAGAATATACTTTTTTATACCGAATAATTGGGGCCGACTCGGGTTGTAATTGCTCAATATTTCGCGTAGCATATTAAAATCAAACGTACTTATAGTTTTAAATCAACAACTTCCATATATTTTAGCAAAATGAAAAAAAAAATTACAGTTTCAAAAATCTTGTAAAAATTTTAAGGAACTAATTTTTTAACAAATTCTTTACTGATAGGTAGATGGGCGTCCTAACAGTGTGTTTATGACGTTATTATAATCTGAAGTTCTTTAAGATGGGGTCATCAAAATGTTACAAAAGAAAAAGTATAAAATGTTTGCTCTTGAAATTTTAAACACAGGAATTTAAAGACTTAAAAAGTATATTCTGGTGTTTTTAAAAAATAAATCATATGTCGTATTTTGTAGTACTCTATTAAAACAGAAAAAAATCGTATTTTTTTACCTTTTGAGAAGCCCCCTCTGGAAACCAGATGATTAAATTTTGTATTTCTTACAGATATGTAATGCGTATTGAACGATCTCAAAGGCTTTCGACTTAATAGTGAAATGAACATTTCATTCCTTCAAAGTATTCTCCGCGGTTTGAAATACATAATTTCAATCTCTGAATCTATTTCTGAAATGCGTCATGGTATGCTGATTTAGGTAGACCTTTGATGCATTTACTTATGGCCAAGTCAATGACTTGTCAGGACTTTTAACGACGATTAGATATGAACTTTTTAAGTTTTGGAAAAAGTCGCAAGGGGCTAGATCTGGAGAGTATGGGGGAGTGGCAAGACGGTAACCTTCTCCGACTTCAAAAATTGCTTCAAAAGCTCAGATGTATGCGTTGGAGCATTATCATGATGTATAAGAACCCCGAATCCTAACAAAGGGCGTCGTTTATGATAATATTTCTTGAGCTTTTTTAGCATAACATCTTGGTAATACCGACCTGTAACACTTTTGCCCTTCGGCACCGGAATTTGTACAGCTATATCATCACCTGAGAAGAATATGCAATAAAGAAACTTCTTTGTGTTTATGGTTCTTTTGGCAACTACAGGCCTTCAACCGTGTTTAGTTAGCCATATTTTGTTTCCAACTTTTCTTACTGGTTCGAAATAGTGAACTCATGTTTCGTCACCAGAAAATTAACAATGTTTGCAAATTATCTTTGACTGAATTTGGGAAACATTTGAGGAACTGCATAGCGGTTTGTACTCGTCCCCGTTTTTGGTCATCTGTCAATTATAGAGATATGCAGTATCCATCTGGCAGAAATCTTTCGTAAAGCTGTACTTTCAAAAAACGCTTCAAATTGAAATGCACCCGCAATAGCGATGTGATAAAAGCTTTGCCAATATCACGAATCGTGTATCTGCCATCACTTTCAATTATATTCCTGACCCTTGAGATATTTGCCTTGCCTGTTACAGTCATAGGTCGGCCAGAGTTTGTTGCATCCTTGACGGACTCTGTGCCAGTGAGAAATTTCTTTATTCACATACGAACTGTCTCATAAGATACCTTATTAGACCCCATTTCAGTAAAAATCTGCCTGACCGAGTTTTGTGCAAACTTTTATATAAGCTCTAATTTCTTCAATATTCTCAACTCATTTTACAACAGTGGTCGACGCCTGGCTCTTTTGAAATGACTTTAAGTTTAAAACTACTTGGAGCTGAAGGCTCATAATTATACCGTTGAACAGGTATTGAATTCAATAGAGCTATTCAAGAGTATCATCATCCACGAAATCGTGCAAAACGTTATCGCGCTGTGGTACAATACAAATTACATATCCAACAACACTCTTATAATGTAAAATACAGTATTACTTATTATATATAATAATTTCAGCAGAAAGTCTAGTAGTATTTGTATAATTTGCTTTGAAGTGTGAAAAACTAGCACGTTCCCATAAATCCTATGGTAAATGTACCTGTATTTTAAAATGGTCCCTAAAAATACTCAGTCGATAGATTTCCCCGAGACTTGGCATGTACGCTGAAGTCAGTGTAAGTTTTTTTATTGTATTTATTTTTCAAACAATAAAGTCCTAGTCGGCACCCTTAAGTGGGAGACATAAAAAACACCATTTGCTGGCGATAGTGGGATTTTACTACGCAGACGATGAAAAATATGAAGCCATCCTGTTTGACATATAGTTTAGTTCTAGTTTACAGTCGGTAAAATATTCGAGTATGACAGATGTTGCAGACTATGTTGACTTTTAATAAGCGTTCACTTGGATATATCTAGTCGACATATGAATGGAAAAAGTTTGGACATTGATAACTGATAAAACGTAGTCAGCATGCTTCGACATCAACCAAGCACATGTCATAATATGAAAACATGAATTTGTCGAGACGCTTCAACTTGCATTCTTTTTGACAGTTTCGATTTTCTAGAGAAAAAGCTGATTTTCAAATACATAGTAATAGACAAACCAATTTCTAAAGGGCCATGACGAGAACAAAAGAACTTCCTCACATAATATGCAAAAAAAATGAAAACCACCTCCAGTTAGCTTTACAACACGGTATCTGCTTTACATAACCAAAAATATATAACAATAGCTCCTTTTCCACTTGTTCAAGAAAAAGTTCTACCCACTCTGACTGCAACGAGGGTCTTGGTATCCTGGAATACAACCCAGGCAGTGGCCACTTATATCACAGTTCTGCTCCTGACATTTCTCGGGGCATGGTTGAGCACAAGTCTCCCCGTAGAACTTAGGATTATGGCATCCTGTGTAAAATGTTTTGAAGTTTATGAAATTTTATGTGTTCACAATTAGAGGGACACTAATTTTAAAAAGTCATGATTTAGCTTACCATATGCTTCAAGTTCACATAATTCATTGAACGCATATTGAGAGTAATAACTTGGGTATGTAACGTCCGGGTTCCCACGCTCGTTGTAGTATATAACATAACGTCCATGAACAGGACAGCTTATTGTCTGGTTCTCTGTTGGTGTACCGTCTTTATCCTGTATTTGATGAAAACATAGATAGCCGTCGTCTTTTGACGTTGTGTTTGAAACGTAGAGGAAAAATCCCGCAAAACGCATAGAGTAAGTACCAGGGCCTGAAATGTGGAAGTGTAACATACACAATAGGAACTTAATGAATTATTATACCCCCCGCTTGAAAAGTGGGAGGGTATATAGTGATCAGGATGTCCTTCCGTCCGTCTGTTACACTTATGCCCGTATTCATACCTATGGTACTCATCTCTTATCCGCAACTCTTCTTCCACCACTGAATGAAATTTAATGAGACTTTCACAGAATCTTTGTTACATAGTGCCATTGTGCACCTTCTGTTTTACTTTTTGATCAGACACATGTTTTGGGTTTGCCAGAGAAAAACATGGACACGGTCATTCTTTCTATAATATTGAAGGGTACCCATCTCTTGTCCGCAACTCCTCCTATACCTATGAATAAAATTTAATGATACTTTCACAGATACTTTACTACATAATGCCATTGTGCACCTCCTATTTTACTTTTTGATAGAATACTTCTTTCGGGTCTCCTATATAAAAACATTGACTTTGCCATTATAACCATATGGGAGGCGGGGATATCATTGTATTGAGAATTTTAAGTATCGAAAATCAACCCGAGAATGCCACCTCCAGATGGAGGCGGCGAATTCCCAGTTTTCGTAATGGCACCGGTTCTGACGTTTTCCTGGCACGTAAAATATCAAAATCGTGAAAAAAAAACTGGAAAACGTCAGATATTTCGGACTAATATAGAGTGTTCGTGGTGAAAGGGTTTGCAGTGGCTTTAAAAAAGCGAGTTTTTTAGGTCAGATGTCAATAACATAGATCTTTATGTGTAAACCCTGACGTCATCAAAATTTGTTCCTTTCGTCCGTTCTGGACCATGCTTATACCTGAGTGCACGTAAGCAAAGTGTGTGCAGTTACCTTTAAGTTTATCAGTCAAAGGTTCAGGTCAAATTAGTTTTGTATGCATAATATCCAAATTCAAAGATCGTAGCAGATTTTTGTGTTGTCTAATTAATGTATATATTTTCTTGGTTCTTTATAAAAATGTGTTGCACTCCTGACCGTGGAAACATGGATCTGAAACACAGACAGGTAATGTAAATGATCGACTTATTTGGAAAAAATGTTCCTTGTGTTTTTATTTTTCCAAAAAAGAAAGAAAAAAACTGTTAAATTACATGTATGTACTGGGGGAAAAAAATTTCAAGCTTGGGAGCAAAACATCAAATGTTGCACTTCTGACATAAATGGGTATGCACAGATACATAACTCACATTTATGCTGCTTGCGATACATATCACATTTTAAACCTTCCCTAACGAAAAAAAATTCAATAGTAAACTATAGTTAACTATTGTGTCGAAGTAAAAACTTCGGAACTTTGATTTACTACAGTGAAAACTTTGGAACTTTTATTTACTATAGTAAAACTTTGGAACTTTGATTAACTATAGTAAACTATAGTTAACTAGAGTAAACTATAGTTAACTATAGTTTACTATAGTATTTTTTTTTTGTTAGAGTTTAAATGGTATATCTGATATTCTTTAACACTTTGAAATTTCTTTTTTTTTTTTTTGACTTACTTGTCATACAGATTTTTAAAAATGATGTTTTTGGCATCATCACATTTTTCTGTTGCACTCCTGACATGATATAACGTTGTTAGCTCACCTCAACGAAGTTGAGTGAGCTTATGTTATACCCTCGGCGTCGGCGTCTCTGGTTAAAGTTTTTGGTGCAGTTTTCTTTTCAAGTACTTCTGTGCCCTATATCAATCACAGATGCATGCATGGGGGGGGGGGGGGGGGTGCTTCTAGTATGTTTCATTGTACCAGTCAAGGTTTCAGATGCTGCAATTTCAGCTGAAGAATGACCAGGTTAATGTTTTTGGAGGAGGTTAAAGTTCTTAGAGCAGGTTAAATTTTTTTGGAGCAGGTCTAATTTCCAAGTTACTATAAGCCCTATATTGACTAAACTTGCATGGATGATACATCTAAGGATGCACACTACCACGCTTGCTTCGGATGCTGGATCTGACCTACACTTTCCGGATGAGTGACCAGGTTAAAGTTTTAAAAGCAGTTCTCATTTCCAAGTAAATATAAGCCCTATATTGACCAAACTTGCAAGGATGACACATCTGACACACACTGGACTGGCTTCGGATGCTGGATCTGACATACATTTTCCGGATGAGTGAACAGGTTAAACTTTTTAAAGCAGGTCTCATTTCCAAGTAACTTTAAGCCTATGTTGACCAAACTTGCATGGATGATACATCTGAAGATGCACACTATCAGGCTTCCTTCGGATGCTGTATCTGACCAACATTTTCCAGATCAGTTACCAGGTTAAATAAACTATAAGGGCTATCTGAACTGAACTTGCATAGATAATGCATCACGGGATGATCACTCTCAAACTTGCTTCAGGTGCTGGATATGACTTACATTTTCTGGATGAGTGACTAGTTTAAAGTTTTTAGATAAGTGCATTCCCAAGTAACTGCAAGCCCTATCGGACAAAATTGCATAAAAGTTACATCTAGGGATGCACACTACTAGATTATTACTTTGGGACTTTGTCTTACTTAAAGACAACATTCGTTTAGGTGAGCTTTGTAATTTCTGATTACCTATCCTTTTTTTCAGCATTAGCCATGACCATCACTTGGTCAAGCAGAAGTTATTACAGTCTAAATTTAAAGCTCCATATATTTAATTTTATCAGGAAAATCTTTTTTCCAATATAAAACATTTACTTATTTAACAGATCTTCAAAAAATATGGTAAATTTTCAAAGTGTCAAAAAGGTGTTGCACTCCTGACATTTGTAGCATCATTTTGGGGCATAACTTTCTGTTAAGATATCAGTGAGATATTTGGCAGGCATTTAGCAAGTATCAAACGACACATGCTGAGGTATAGAGTTTTGTTCTGATTTTTCAGTGTAGGTTGACCATTATAATTCACCCATTACCATTATCATCATCTCGCTAATGTTTTTGATGTTTACAATAATATAAACAAAAATTAACAATTATTTATAGAGATATGGGACCAACTGCATTAGAATCTTTAATTTTTGACCTTGAATTCTATGGTCAAAGGTCAAGGTCATTCCAAATATGAGAAATCTAGATCTCTTATTTTTCAATATATCTTAAATACTAGTATGTCCTTTTAAGGTTAATTCAAAATTTCTTTTTGAACCCTAAGTCTGACCCCTTTAAAAGTTATTGCCCTTTTGATTAAAATACTTGTTATCGCTACTCCTCTGAAATCATAAAACATACAGACGCCAAACATTCACTAATGTCTTCGGCTTTTCAAGACAAAGCTTCAATCTATTCAGTGCGAAAGGATCTGACGACCCCTTCTTTGATTTTCTTTGTGCTTATCGTTAAGCCCTAAAAACTTGAAATCGAATAATAGAAATATGAGAGTAACTGGTATGTGATCCTTGACCTAAAACATTTGATCAAGGTCAAGGCCACTTCAATTTCTTTAAAATTTTTATCTTTTTCAATCTGTTAAGTTATTTCTAGTTTCCTTTTCAAAAAATTTAACTGTATACAGTTATATAAAAAAAATTCAAAAAAATTGAAGGAAGGTCTGTTCAGGAGCAATTAGTCTACTAGTGTTATTTTATAATGCTAACAATAATGGATACATTAATAAACAGTCAAATAACGGATTAACGTAAGTAGTGAACTTCTCAGTTAAGATATCAGTTTCACAGGTGACATGTGCGATGGAGCGTAGTTATTCCTATCGGATCTTAAGTGGGTAAAATTCACGAGATTATCAAGCCATGCTGTGTTTTCAAGCAGTATTTGGGGTTTTACACAGGATCCAATTTTTAGGTGTTAAGAGCCATTCTCTGTAATGACTTTAACTTTTATATGGGAACTGTGGCACGCATAGTCTTAGAATTTCTCCAAACTCTCTATGATAAAAGTCTTTGATACCGTAAACTCAAATCAGGCAAAAATTGGTTGCTACGTGTCATGGTTACCATAGCAACATGTCCTAAATTTTGAAAAATAGCATTTTTCAACATGTTCAGAGTCCCATAGTTAACGTTTGCAGCAAAGCAAACAAGTGGCAATGATTGTTTCTGAAAGTTGAAGGCCTGATGTCTTAAATGCATGATAAACATGTTTGGTAAATCAACTATTACATACGTTACTATGGAAACAAAGTATTCAAAAGTAATAATTTTGTTCATTTAATTTTATAAAGTCATACACTTAAGAATAAAAACAATTATAGGTTGAAATGCAAGCAAATAATAGACAGGAGATCCTTGTAACGTATACCAAGGACGGAATATGATATTTCTTATAGGTTGGCAATGGTTGCCATGGTTTTAATACCACAAAGGGATTTTAAATTTACTCTCTTAGTATTTTAATCTTATCCTATCTTTTTACAAAGCATATTTCTATATAACTGATGATTAATTTTTAAAGGCGTTGGTGTGGCCCTAATTTTCACATTTCAAAAAATTCAAATTTGGTTCTTTAAATAGAGCGTTGCTATGGAAATTAGCTGAAAAAATATGCATAAAAATCTGAAAAATATTCTGTTTCCTTGGATACGTACCCTTGTATGTAGATTCCCAAAACTTTTATGATTGATATATATGAACAACTAACCTGACTTTCAATTTTGACTACCAACCAATCTCTAACTGGATGCAAAAAGCTGGCACATAGGATTTAATATTGAAATAAAATTAATGAAATCGAACATTTTCTCTTTTTGGTAACCATAGCAACAGTGTTGTATTTTTCAACAAACTTTATCAATATATGATATTCAACTTTAGTTCTACCAGATAAGTACTATTCAAGGTGAGTCAAATCATATGTTCCTTGATTAAAAGATAAGTAATTTCCTAAAGCAGTAAGAAAATATCACTTTAAACAACTGGTACGTTGTTTCCATGGTTACACTGCAAAGTAACAATTAATCCCAATTTTTCTTATGTTGTCAGTGTTGCAAGGTCCTAAGGATGTATATGTGCCAGTCATGAATTTTATTGTTTTTCCTCAAGATAGTAGCATTAACCCAATCTTAGCAACGAATTTTGCATCGCTACACTGTGTTACCATGGCAACCATGAAAGTTATTTCTAGAATAATATTGCCAATACCTTATTACTTAAGGTCAAATATTTTTATCGTTTTTCTTCAATTGTTGATTTAGTTTGATCATATAACATCTATCATTAGTGAATATTGAGTGTTTTTCAGCATCTAAAATGTATTCCAAATGTACCCATGGTTACCACTTACTTAGAGATAAATTCTAAATAGTTTCTTTACAGCATAAGTTGCAACAAGGTGTCATGTTTTTGTGAGAATAGTTTGTTTGTTTTTTTTTAGTCATTATTAAGGCTTAATAAAGATTCAAAGTAGCTGAAAATCTCATTTTTTTCAACTTTTCTGCCTGTTACCATGGCAACCAAGACACATAGCAACGAAATTTTATTTGATATATGTTTCTGGTATTAATTTGTAATAATGGGCAAAGTTTCATCAAAATCGGTGACCATGCGTGGCAAAGAAGTGTAAGTGGTTACAGAGAATCGCTATTAAAAACTGAATACCATAGGTATATTTTGGTCCATGTTAAGAAGTATTGAACATGGCAGATCCAACGTCCCAAAGTCAAAGTGTGCTTTATTAGGTTTGATCACACAGACGACAGACATTGACTTAAATTAAGATTAGTGTTTCGATATTTGGAGTCTAAGGACTTTTCATCAGATATTAGCAAACATGTTTTGTTACTTTAAAACACTAAAATAAAATCAGTCAACCATAGATAAATATTTCATAAATTATACATGTACCAAATAAAATTAAGGATTTAACATCAATGAAGAGCAATTTCTTCCTCTTTAATTGCATGCTTCCGTTAAAATGCCGAAGTTGAGGCACAAATGTTATTGCATATTTGCCACAAAAAAAAAAAAAAAAAACACACACACACACACACATTGATTTTATTTATTGCCTTTCTTACTATCATTGTAGTATTTCTTTTCCAAAGATTTATTTTCAGTTGTTTTGTGCGAGTTATTTCAACCAGCGAGTTGCGGGAATATCAAAACAAAAACGTTTGATGAAATGTATACATACTAGGTGCATTATCTGTCCTGTAGAATATGTTGATGTGACTTATGCTGACCACACTCTGTAGATCCACTCTCAGTGTTGCCGTGCTTTTTCCGTTAGCTGATATTGTACATTGGTTCCCTCCCGCTGAGCGATCAGAATAGCGTCCGTCCACTGCCTTGTCTGCTCCCCAGTCTGGTGAGTAGTCACTCTCCTGCCAAGCAGGTCTGTTCAGTGCTAAGTTGACTTAACAAAAACATTTTCTAATAAATAAACACTGTGGCAAAAAATGCGTGTTAACTTGAATATTAAAATTAGTTTACATAAACCACAGATTATGTAATAGCTGTAGAACTGTAGCTCCGTGATACTGAAAATTCGGAGGAAAAAAGGGAGCCACATTGTTTAAACCATTTATTTGCATTTGTTTCACGGTCCGAGCATTATTTCTCGCAATATATATGCAACCCCACACCTAAAGCATGGTAAACCCTAATTAAACATAAACATATTTTCCTCCTTCTATTGTTTCTTTTTTTACCTCTCAATGGTTCCAAACGGCCCTTAAAGACCGTGCATTGTCAGATTTAAAACAAGTTTGGGTTTTTAGAAAGCCTGAAATGTCATCTCTTTGGTTTCATTAATATCACAGAATAAAAAAACGGAGCGAAAACATTTTTTTTTTCTCGGCTTTTATTTAACTGCATCAAAATTTTCCTTTAATTCATTTTAAATAAGGGAAAAATAATGTGAAGCAAAAATTGTAAACACATAAGAATTCTTAATAATAAGTATACAGTTGTAATTCAGCCCGAATTAGGATAGCTAGGTGTTTTTCTTTCACAGCCGCTTACCCTGACAACAGCTAAGAGGTTTAAATTATAGCATTGATTTAGTTCCTTGTAAGCTTTCCAAACGTTTTTCTTAATCTTATCCTCCTACCTGACTTGACGATCAAACCACTGGAGATATCAAGGCAAAAATGAGACACTCCTTCATTATACCCTTACTGCTACCCAAATTTTAACGCTTTATATCATTATATATATTAAGTACATGTTCACGCTTCTTGGGAAATAGCATAGAGAGATGAAAAGACAGTGAGTATAATGACATAAAGTAAAGTTATTTGTCGTTAATTCAAACCAATTAAGTATTTATGCATTTTATGCATAATTATGTAAATGTTTTCAGTATTTCTCTATTCTGAAAATTCTTGGATCCACGCTTTAGTTTATATATTCAATATCAGCCACACATTAAGCTATATTTTGTTACCCGCACGCTGCATGACTATCATTCAGCATGCTTAGTTGAGGACCAAACAATACCAAAGCAATCCTAGTACAACCTTCATGGCCGTAGAAACCGGGGGAGGGGGGGGGGCAGTTCCCTCTCCCCTCCCAATAATTTTGCCGATATATAGAAGATTATAGAAAACATACCTACTATATGCTTGTGCCCCCTCAATAATAACGTCTGATGACTTTTTATTTGCTTGTCAAGGAATTTTGGTACTTGATAGTACCCCCCCCCCCTCCCCAACTGGAAATGTATGGTTGTGTCCCCTCAAAGTTAAACTGCTTCCTACGCGCCTGACTCTCATTCATTATAAATCCCGTGTAGTTTTTCTTTGAGATGCACAAATCCTATTTTATTTAATAATAATAAAATAGATTGCTCATTGTTTAGGACAAAAGGCAGTTTACTTTTTCTAAAGTTAGAAATCGCGTCGTCATCAGATCGCCAGTCTTTATTTGCCAGACCAACAGCTAATCAATGGCAGGTTGCATTGGAACTTTCCTTCCGGCTTTTCAGACTTAATATGTCCTTTCCCGAGAGAGATGACAAAGAAATCGCATACCGACTTACATGTTTGGGTAATCCTCGAATACATTGAAGGAAAACGTGCCACGAAAATTTACATTTACAAAATTTACTGTCATTTAAATCATCGAAATTCTTTTTTATACATGTATACTCTTATATACGATATTGATGATATTTCACTGCCAAAAAATAGTTTGATTTTTCACGACAGGCATATCTAGACATAAATGGAAGGTAGTACAATGATTGACGGAAGATGAACAAAAAATGAAGCGGAATTCCGTAGTTGGACTTACCATAAGCTTTACAGCATGCACCAAACATCAGGACTTGGAAAATGACGTGAATCATTTCTTCTTATTCCCATTTGAATAAATGTTAGCTATGAAGTCCTTTGAAACCGTGCTTTCTTCTGGAAGGTAAAAGAAAAAAAAGAGAGAAAAAAAAAGAAAAAAATATGTTAAAAAGCATTTTCGTTCAAGCGAAACTAAGAAAGTTTTAGCAAGTATTGAATTGGTAGAAGGACAGCTGGCTGTATCAAGTAACATTTTGTTTCTTTTTTTTCAAAAACAAATTAATAAGCGTCACTAAAAGATAACTTGACCAGCATCTTTTTTGTCAATGCAGATGTCACTAACTTGTGAACTGTAAAAAGCAGGGATCTAAAATTTTACTCTTGTTCTTTGTAATAACAATGTAACAATGAAAATAAAGGTTAATGAAATATAACGAAGCCTAACTCAACGACTGTTATCTATAAGTAAGGCTAATTCTCCAAACGAATGCTTTGGTAGTGTGCATTCAATATTAATGGAAGTTCGGTCTGGGTCAAAGTTTTACATAGGAATATATAGGTGGGGCATTTACGTAAAACACATTGAAGACTTTAAATTGTGGAATGACCTAACAACCCTTGGAATGGACTAGCAAAAGGGTATAGAAGGCAAAGCTTTGGGAAATTCTGGCATTCAGAAGGTAGCTGTAGAATTTGGCCTTTGAATCAGCAATAAAGAAGTTAAGGGGAAGAGCAAAATAAAAGTATTAAAGTTAAAAGCACCAGTGGCACGTATCCTAAGAAATAGATGTTAAGTGCTGGATGTAGTAAATCTGAAGAAGATTGAAAGACCTGATTTTTAGCTCTACTGGTCAGAGACCAGAAGAGCTTGTGCAAGAGTAAGGTGTCCGTCTGTCTCTCCGTCTGTCTCTAGACAATTTTTCAAAACGCTACTCCTCCTACAGTTTTGGTCTGATTTCAATATGACTTGGCACACACGTAGACTCCACTAAGAAACATGATTCAGTGCATCGGTTTTTGATTTCGATGAACTATGTTGCCAAGGTTACTAAAAATAGAAATACCTGTGAAATTCCTTTAAAACGCTTCTCCTAGTTTTGGTCTGATTTCAGTATAATTTGGTACACAAGTAGACCACACTAAGAAACATTATTCAGTGCATCGGCTTTTGATTTCGATGAACGATGTTGCCAAGGTTACTAAAAATAGAAATACCTGTGAAATTCCTTTAAAACGCTTCTCCTAGTTTTGGTCTGATTTCAATATAACTTGGCACACAAGTAGACTATACTGAGATGCATAATTTATTGCATCGGTTTTGATTTCAATGAATGGTGTCTCCATGGTTACTAGAAATAGAAATTTCTGTGAAATTCCTTTAAAACGCTACTCCTCCTACAGTTTTGGTCTGATTCAAATATAACTTGACACACAAGTAGACTACACTAAGATACATAATTCTTTTATCGGTTTTTTATTTCAATGAAGGGTGTTGCCACGGTTACTTAAAATAGAAATTTCTGTGAAATATTCAAAAACCCTACACCTCCCAGAGGTCTAGTCTGATTGCAATAAAGAAAAAAGACTATAACAAGTATCATTATTCTTTTTATTGTTGTTGCAAAGTTTAAAGTCCAAGTGCTACTTTTCTATTCCTTTGTTCTAAGTACAAACCAGTAGAGCTACAGTCTCGTCAGAGACTTCTGGTTATCTAACAATAGGAACCTTGGGGGGGGGGGGGGCACGGTGCAAGTAGTACCTTACCCAGTCCCCCCGTCTCTAGAGAAGAGTAACATTTTAGTTTTTGTGATTTACCCTCAGACAGAGCTATCCTACATGTAATAATCATTCAAATCATTAACTCAGACAGAGTAAAAGGAAAACCTATATATCCCTTGTAAGAACCTGATCATACACGTTATATACGAAAAACCTTGAAAAATCTTCTTCTCAAGAACAACTATGCCATTATTAGTCATATAAATAGAGAAGCAATTTAAGTATTGTTGAATCAATTTTCTTCAAATTATGACCCCCAGGGGTTGGAGAGGGGGGACAGAGGGTCAATTCTTTACAAAAGAATATATAAGAATCATCTTGAAAAAAATCTGCTGCTCAAGAACAGCAAAGCCATGATTAGTCATATTATTATAGAAGCACCCTAAGGTAGTGTAGATTCAAATTTGTTCAAATTTAGGGTGGGTTGGCTGGGACCACAATGAGCGAGTTTTACATCAAATATTGATACTCATCCGGAAAATGCAAGTCACATTCGGAATTCAAATAAAGTCCCATAACTTTCATCCCAAGATGAATTATCCATTCACTTTGTGTATGTAGGGCCTTCCATTCATTAGAACTTTAAAGCTAATCACGATTCATAAAAGGAATTTGTCAGCCATATTCTTTTATTCAGTCGTTATATCTGATGACCCTTATATATAGGCCGTTCACCTAGTCAGTATTCACTGTAATCAGTTGTCACATGTGTAGACGTACATATGCTACATTGTAAAACACTCGGTAGCGACAAAAATAACTGTTTACTTCTTCCACGGCGGGAGAGAAAGAAACTTGCAGCTGTTGCACAGGTAAATGCAGTATACAAACAAACACAAATACATGTCAACTGCTATAAAATGTAATCAAAGGTAATGTAAGATAACCAGCAAGAACACGTTTCGTCCATTCCACGCAGGTAACCGTGACATTAAAGCAGTCAGGTGTAACGAATGCGAAGGGTATACCCCAGTGCTGGTATCAAAGATAGTGAATCTAATATGGCGTATGCTTATTAACAAGTCGTGTTCAGCTTTAAGCAGTTCACTGGAAAATTAGGGCTGCAACGATATATCGATAAAATCGATCTTCAATGAATCAGATACCCATACATGTACGTTATCGACAATATCGATCCAGGAAGCCGTATTCCCGCCTAGTTTATTCTATGAGTATTCTCCTTTGTTTTTCTTTAATTTGCAGCCAATGAGAATGCGCGAATTTTTTAAGGTTAGCCCAAATTTGAACTATTATGAAAAATGACGACGTGAAACACGTTGGTATTCTTAGAGACTCTGACTGTGAAGAAGTTTGATTTTAGATTCAGTTTGGATTTCCAGTTTGTGAAAAGGACCTTAAGACAGATTTGTTGACAGACAAAAATGGGTACGTCGTCACTGCAAAGCCATGGAAATACAAAAAAAATAATCGTGTGCATTGCACGATACATCGACACCCGATCATAAAACAAAACTCTGGTGAACTACACAGAAGAAATGCACTTATTTAATACCCAGGAGCAGAGAAGAAGATTTTCAAAGAAACAATGCATTTTCACTATATAATCAATAGAGCCCCGCCCTAACACCAGAACCCCTGACCCTGGGGCCATGAATTTCACAATTTTGTAAGAGGCACTCTTGCTCACCATAACTATGTACTTAGTAACTTTATTTAATACCCAGGAGCAGAGAAGAAGATTTTCAAAGAACTAATGCACTTTCACTATATGATTTATATAGCCCCACCCTGGGGCCAGAACCCCTGACCCTGGGGCCATGAATTTCACAATTTTGGTAGAGGGCTCCATGCTTATTACAATGATGCCAACAGTTTGACTGCTTGATGTCCAGGAGTAAAGAAGACGATTTTTAAAGACTGCATTATTTTTGGTGGTTTTAGCCCCACCCCTCAAGCCCCAGGGGGGCAGGGACCATGAAATTCACAATTTTTGTTCCCCTTCACCCATAGATGCTATATACCAAATTTGGTTGAAATTGGTTGAACGGTTCTAGAGAAGAAGTTAAAAATGTTCAAAAGTTAACGCACGACGACGGACGAAAACAGATAGCAATAGGTCACCTGAGTGACTCAGGTGACCTAAAAATTAACATTATTTTAAATTGATCATTTTAAAAGAGAAAAGATAGGGCATTCATATTATACATGTATATTACCTGTGACAAGACCTTTCTAAATATATCAGGACTTTTGACTCTGTGACATTGACCTTGAAGTTTAACCTACTTTTCAAAAATGTTATATTTCCTTATAACTTTTGATTGAGAAGAGATAGGACTTTCATATTTGACATGTACATTACCTGTAACAAGATGTTTCCGAGCATGCTATGATTTTTAACCCCTTGACCTTGATGTTTACCTAATTTTAAAAATGTTAACTTTGGTGATTACTTTTGAATGACATATGATAGGGCGTGCATATTTGAAACAATATGCCATAAATAATGGCATCGCATCCACTAAGACATGGAAAGCAGGGGACCCAATTCTTTGAATTTGCTTGTTAGTCATTTTGATATGGAAACAACCTCATATAGTGTAGATTAAAGTTTTTTTATGCCCCTCCATGAATATGGCCGAGGCATATAGTGTTTGTCATGTCCGTCTTACATCCTTCCATCCTTCTGTTTGTCCTTCCGACTGTCCTTCTGTCGTGCTTTGCTTTTAGCTCAGTTCAAAGCTCAGTTTCAAAGAAACCATCCAAGATATTTTTATCAAACTTCACATGCTGAAAGATATTGATAAGAGCTATGCAACTGCATCAACATTTTTAACCTTGACCTTTCCTTTGACCTTTACTTCACTTTTCTTAAACTAGTGTTTAGCTCAGTTTTAAAGATAACATTAAAGATAGTGTAATCAAACTTCATATGTTGATGCATACTGATGTAAGCTATTCAACTGCATCAACATTTTTGACCTTGACTTTTCCTTTGACCTTGACTTCACTTGTCTTTAAATTAGTGTTTAGCTTAGTTTTAATGAAATTCAAATTACTGTAATAAAAATTCATATGCTGATACATACTGATGTAAGCTTTTCAACTGCATCGACCTTTACCTTTCCTTTGACCTTGACCTCGCTTTTTGTAAATTAGTGTCTAAATCAGTTTTGAATAAACAATTCAAGATATATTTATCAAACTTCATGTGCTGATACATACTGCTAAGAGCAAAGATTATCATCAACTTTTATGCCCTTGACTTTTCCTATGACCTTGACTTCAGTTTTTTAAATTAGTGTTTATCTACGTT